GGATCTCTACAAAGCTGAATCCAAAAAGCTTTTGTTGACTGGAGCTGGCGCCCTGGACAACCTTGACCATTCCTCGCCTGTAAGTCATTCCCTTCTCTCACTCTCTCACCCTCTCTCACAATGATGCTTGGTTGCTGACTGTTTTGATTGTTTCTTTTCCATCCTGTTTCCTGGCTCTACAGACCTACACAACCCATGCCGCTCTCCAAGCCAAGTACCCTTGGTTCAAAAAAATGCATTTCATGATGCGTGACCAATACACAGCAGGTCCCGAGGTGCTGCTTGGCACCCCAGCCATCAGCACCTTCAGCGACAATGAGGACAACCACAACAGCAATGGCATCGAAGCCATGGATGAAAGCGGCGACGAAGTATTCAGCCCTGGCCTCAACAACGGTTGCAACCTGCCGCCCTTGGAGACGATGATCAGCCAGTCCCAGACGTCCACCCCCACCCCTGCAAGCCAGAGCTGCTAGCCCTCTATTGTCAATGTCTTCAGCCCCAGCTCCTCGGTCCCTTCCCCTTCCTCTGCTTGCAAGGCTGGTACTGTCGAGCAGAAGCGTGATGCGCTCACCAAAGCCTACTATTGCTTGTCGGTTGAGCATTACCAGTACAAGGCCAAGGCTCAGGAGGAACGTACCAAGCGAGAGATGGAGCGTACCAAGCGCCAGGCTATGCGCTTGGCTAGCACAAAGGAGAAGGAGACTCGCGAGATGAACTTGTACATTCAGCTTGCTTCGCTCATTGCCGGCAAACGGCCTGGTCTCTCTGAATTTGGCGGCAGCACTTCTGTTTTTGACTCCAATGCTGGCACGTTGGACAACGTATCTGCCCCTGCCAATACCGAGAACCCGCAGCAGTAGGTCTCAATGTTGCAACACCCTTCCCCTTTGACGTCTAGTGTATCTTGTATCTCCCTTGCAAAATCTTGTTTTACCCATACCCCTCCTCACTCATACCCCCTCTCCGCTTGCCCACAAACATGTAGCTTTAGTGTAAGAGAATCAAATTACCAACTCGATGTTTGAGAGCTGGTACCCTTTGATATCTGACTGCTTTTTGAGTGTTGTTGAATTGATGGCGCGTACGCAACTTTGATTAGATTGCGCAGTAAATTTTGATGTGCAGCTTTCTTTTTGACTATCACCATGTCTTCATGCCTGGCTATGCCTTGTACCACCATCACCACTGAAACTCACAATGGTATGTTACAGCAAGAAGCAGCTCACTCTCAATGCCATTGTGCATGCTCTAGAGGTCATATTACCAAACGAGGCCAAGGAATATGCCAAGAGCAAATCCGAAAGTGATCTTTCCGACAATAGCTACTCTTCCGATGACTCGCCTGAATCCTCAGAAACCAACAACTACGACAGTACCAGCGAGTCTTCAGGCAGTGACAACAACATCCCTCACTCCAGGCGTCTTCTAGCTATGTATGCCAAACTGAGCCAACAATGCTACACTGTTCCACGTATGCAATCTCTCTCACGACACAAAAAACTCATCAACATGCTTGACCGTTTCTCAACAACCAGCCTGCGAGCCTATCGAGGATTTGTTTGCATGACACCTGAGGCATTTGACAATCTGGCTCTCCATCTCCAGCAAACAAAATCTTTCCTCTCTTTGAATGGTTCAAGTTGCCTGCCCTTAGAAAAGGTGAGGGAGATGGTATTGGTCGCATTGTATAGGTTGGGACGATCTGGGAATGGATCAGGAGAACGTGATGGTTCCTTGCAATGCAGATGCAGTGTCGGAAGCTACATTGCATGGACAGAATGCACTGTCAAGGGTCTCATGGAACTCAATGCGGAGGTGATGCAGTTTGCCACCAAGGAGGAAAGGAGAAAGGCCAAGGCTTGGGTCAAGAAGGTCACTGAAGTCAAAGAATGGGAACAAGGTTGGTTGGTTGTCGATGGCACTCACGTCTTGCTGGCATGGAAGCCAGGAATGCAAGGCAAGGAACACTTCAATTACAAGGGACTCTATTCGATCAACGTGGCTGTTGTGATCATGCCCCATTCACTTCAAATTGTCGAGTCCGTTGTTGGCCATCCTGGAAGCGCTCAAGACTCCAAGGTCTGGACGTCTGGTTCCAATATCCTCAAGAAACCACGCCTCTACTTAGACGAAGGTGAGTTCGTCTGGACTGACGGAGGTTACAGGCACCACACCATCACTGTGGCCCCTTTCATGCATCAAGCCGCCGAGAGGAGCCGAGATCTCCGTTCCTTCAATTACACCATGTCTCGGGTTTGTGTCAGGGTAGAACATGCAATTGCCTTCTTGAAGAACCGATTCCAGTGCCTATCTGGCTATTGCGGCAACATCTATAGAGCCTCTGATTGCGTAAACGCCGCCAAGACAATCCTGTCAGGGGTCGTGTGCCTGAGCTTGGATTTCTAGCCCTGAAGCTTCCTCGAGATGAGATTGAATTAGAGAATGAACCTATGGTGATTTTCGAAATGAGACTTAGGCGTGTGCCTTGCGTTGCCCGATCTCACCCACTTCAAGGACACTCGAATCTGAGAATGAGATTTGTGTTTTCTTGATGTCACTACAACTTTGAGAAAGGCCCTACTGAGATCTTCGAGCTCGACTAACTCCTGTGAACACTCCGTTCAGAGGCAATACGGCATGATGGGCTTAGCTGTTGGAGTAAAGCTATATAAGTGACCACTAGGATCAAGCACGAGTGTTCTTGGTGCTCTCCAGTGGTCTTAGCCGTGGAGCGGCCTCGCTGTATATGGACTGGTTGAGGTTCCAGGCCCAGGTTGAGGTTCCAGCTGCAATTGAGGTGTCGCAGCATCAGTGTAGGTGCTGACGATGCTCAAAGACAGGCTCTCCTATACTGAGGACAAGCACAGACTGTGAAATGATTGCAAAGCGCTGCTATTGCAATCGGTACAACTGAGAGTGCTTACAAAGCGTAACTGAGAGGTATTCTTGAGATAACGAAAGTAAAGAGTAGAGTGAATGAGCTCCGCTCATCACACTGCGAGTGAAGAATGAGTATATATAACCGTTTGGCCCAAACTGAGTGCACTCGACCTGTGTGTGTACCGAGCTTGGGCCTCCTGCCAGCATGCAACTCGCACATGCGACTCTCCTATCGAACCATCAGGCCTGCTCGCCATCACAGATGGTGTCGAGCACCATGCCCTTCGATACCACCGAGTTGCCCTACTCGAGACCAGTCGATTCGCGCTTTCCCAGCATTGCTTCCTGAGTTCGAGAATCCAACATACTAAATTCTCGAACTCAATTTGAGTTCGAGAGCCAAGTACGCGTCTTTCTCGAACTGGGACTTGTGTCCTGTAACAATGAACTCTCTTTTGGAAGAAGCAACTGATGGCCCAACGATCTGTATCCAATCCATGGTAGCCTGGGTGTCTTGTGGTGTAGTGCTCGATGCCGGCATCAAAAAATACCATTTCACAAGGCCGTAAGTTGATCTGTACGTTGTATTCTGGCAGGTGAAGGCGTGCAAAGCCAAAGTTGAGCAAAATAGTAGGTGCTGTGTTGCCTTTGTCTCGGTGAGCCTTTCCACTGAAGCTCTGAAACAGAGAACATACATTGTAAAGCTTATGACAGAGGTCAGATGCAATTGGAACCTTGCCTGTCAGCCAATTGTAGTCCCGCTCCCTTTGCTTGAGACTGGCTCGGAAAAATCCAGCCATAGCAAACTGCTTCTTAGAAGGTCTTGAGCTGGTATTGTCCTGTGTTTCGACAAAATTGCCATTAATATTGTTGTTGGCATCTCTGGAATTACCATCATTGTCTTTGTCTTCATCTTCATCATAGTTGCTGTTGTCGCTGTCATCATTGTTGTCGTCGTCTTTGCTGTAGTCATTGCCAGTATTATGGCCGTAGACATGGCTATCATACTCAAGACTGTCTTCTGCAAGGCTTCCAAAACTGACGTTGCTGTTTGCAGTGTCCTTTTGTGTTGACAGGGGCTGCAAGCCTGTATTAGACTCAAATTCTGGCCAAGTAGCGTATCATTGGCTTCTTCAACCTCCTGAGCGTCCTCATCTTCAAGCTCTGAAGCCTTTCTCTTGGATGGTTTAGATTCTTGGTCCATTGGAACAGCCTTAACAAGCGGCTGCACATACTTGTCTGTGTATCTTTGCAACCAGGCCATGAATTTGAGTACGTGAATCATGCCTTCTTGATCTTCAGCGATGCTTTGTTTGGCATTAGGGACAATCCCTTGGCAAGTGTCACTCAAAGTTGTGGCAAGTCTGCTTCCCTGTCCATACCAAACATTGAAATGATAGTGACTGTTATGCTGCTTGGCATCAGGAGATGCATCTTTGTCAAGTGTTGCTTGTGCTGCAATACTGGAAGAACTAGTTGCCTCATTGGTGATGGGTGTGTTGCAGCCCTCTTCCGCATTGGGGCTGTATGGTGCAAGACACACTGTTCAAGGACTTTGTCAAACCGCTGTCTACCAACAAGCATCTCTTGAAGCTGTTTGTGATGCTTTGTCTTGTTCCTGGGCACAAATTGCTGCACGATCACATCGGTGTTGTTGTCGAGCAAGGCCAGATTTCGATGTATGTTGATGCCATGGAAGTCATCAGGCAGGGTCTCTGTGCCTCTAAATAGCTTGGGACATTGATTTTTAGTAAAGGATACAATCTTTGTGATGTTGGCCACATTTGGGTGCAGGTAAGCCTCGCGGTAGAGAGCTTGCAGCATGCGCTTGCAATCTGCGTCCTTGGGAAAAGTGAGATGCATCTCCATTCTTTTCATTGTTTCTTGTAACAAAGAAAGGTTCTGTTGAGCGCAATGAGATTTGGAAGGTTGCAGAGAAGCTGTATGGGATGGAAGCTCAATGGAGTCAAGAGAACACTGCCGTGCTCTCCCGAAGTGCAACTTTTTCGGTGTGCAATGTAAAAGTGGCCGATGTCAGAAGTACGGATTTTGGCTCGGAGTGAAAAAAAAATGGACTCGGCGAACCCCACCATTCTTTCGGCAAAGGGAAAAAAAATTGCGCCGAAGGGGACTCGAACCCCTGTCGCTTGCTGTCCGTCGAAGTTCAAATCAGATGGAAGGCAAGCATTCTACCCTTAAACTATCGGTGCGAACTTGTGAACATAATCCGCGTTGCATATTATATAGCCACATTTTCTGGAGATGCTATGCCATGCATAGGCAGACGCAAGAGCGCCTTGCACCCTCACAACACAGCAGTACACGAAAGAGATCAAAGATTTGACGGCTGGTATCACAGAAGATGAACGTTGATACATGAGCGCATATTGCGCGATGTGAAGAGTTAGTCCTCGTACACGCCCGCGACGAGACACAAATTTCTCGGGGTGAAATGTACATCCAACACTGGCGTCCTCTTTGTGTGGAAGGTGGCCACGCAGTCTGCGCTGGTGTTGATCAGGTCCGCTCCGTTCGTCTGGCTTGCTGCTGTTGCACTCGCCAGCCCTCCGCTCGCCAACTGTGCTGCTGTTGGCGCGCCTCCTCCGCCTCCGACGACTGATGCCGCTGCTGCTTGTTGTGCCTCCAACGACCCTTTTGCGGGAGCCTTTCGCGCACCTCCAACCGAGCGGACATCCCAGCATCGAACACTACAATCCTCACTACCGGTGACCAGCAGCGAGCCGTCGGCGGAGAAGTCCATCGAGTAAATGCGCTCGCTATGACCCCACATCTTCTTAATCCTTCTTCCGCTTGCCAAGTCCCACAGAGAAATGGAGACATCGTTGATGTATGCTCCTTTCGAGGTCAAGTCGATGCCATCAACACCAGCAAACTGCGATACGGTACCGTTGCCTGCGGCTGCTGAGGCGAGGTAACGGCCATCTGGACTGATCTTGAGACAGGAGATGGGAGATTGGTGCCCCACAAACAGTCGGACACATGCTCCCCGTTGAACATCCCACAATCGACAGCTTCGGTCAGAAGATCCCGTGGCGAGGTAGAGGCTGTTCGGGTGAAAGGTGAGACAATCGACATCCGATAGATGGCCAGCGTACATGCGCAGCGGATTGACCCTTTCCGTGCTCCAAAGCCGTGCCGTCTTGTCTGCAGAGGCGGTGGCGAAGTAGGTTCCGATCGGGCTCCACTTGATGTCCCATACTGGATGCTGGTGGCCCCTGTACGCCACCAGGGCGCTGTATGTATCGAGGCTCCACAGCCTGGCCGTCGCGTCCGCAGAGCAACTCAAAAGATGCCTGGGCGCCGAAGCAGACCCTCCGACAGGATCGAAGTCTACCCCATACACAGGGCCCGAGTGACCGATCAAACGCCTGGTGGAATATGACTCTGCCTCGCGTTGCCTCGCCAGGGTCCTGCTGTCGCGAATCGAAGAGAGGTTGGGATTGCCGCGAATGCCACGCAGCTTTTCGCCTTTGAGCGACCATACTTGGACGAACGACTCTTCGAAGCCTGCAGCCATGAGCGTAATATCGTCTGAAAAGGTGGAACATGTGATGCCATCGTCTGCGTCGTGAAAAGTGTAGGCGCAGACCGAGGGCAGAGCAGCTACACGGGCAGCGTGAGCGCCTTGCTCGCCGAGGGCGTTGATGCTAGGGTCGCGCACGCCTGAGGTGAAGGTAGACGATGTGGAACCGGACCCGTTGAGCAGGGATGGATCAAGACGAATGCGTTTGCGGGCGTCGCGGATGCGCTGGACCTCGCGTTTGACGTCGACGGTGCGGAAAGTGGGTGCTTGTGGTGGAAGGTCGGTGATGCTAGCTGCAAGCAAGCCGACAGAAAAGTCGGGACCATTGGAGCCGCTTGGCCTTGTGTCAGCAGCCGCATTGGGTGGAACAATTCCTGGAGCCGAAGAAGGTGGTTCTGACGGACGCGCAGACGCCGTCCTGGCCCTTGTTGCATCGTCCCCATCCTCAGCACCGTCTGCGGCGGCGGCATCCTGCATAGTGGTATCGCCATCTGGCTCTTGATTCGCACTGCTTGCCTCGCCGGTTTCTTGCGCTGCGCCTGCGCCAGCTGTGGCAGAAGCTGATGCCTCGGCATTTTTACTCTTGGTTTCGTCTGCTTGTACCGCAGCGATGGTCTCTTTCTCGCGGCGCTCTACTTCATGCAGCTCCTTTTGCACCTCGGTCTCTAGCCTTTCTGTCAAGGGTACGGACGGATGAAGCTTGAGCTGCGGTCCGGCGGCTTTTGCATTGAACTCGGCGAGTGCATCGCTCTCCGAGACAGCGTTCTTTGCCAACGAAGCGTGGATGCGGCTACGTCCTGCTGCGCCCGTGGTGACACTGGAGTATGTCGGTCCAGCACCCGTGAGACCAGTTCCCTCTTCCAAGACAGCGGCGTCGATCTGGTACGGCTGAGCAGCAAGCACCTGGATGCGACATCGCTCGTTGATAATCTTGAGCATGGCTTCGCGTCCACGCCTTGCGGGTGCCTCTGCTTCTTCCGAGCCGCTCGTCGAGCCCGAGCCAGGACCACCTCCGTCGGTCAACCAGCCAAGGAGAAGGCTAAAGACGGTATTGGACATCTTGACGACGTAGCGTTCGGTTCGGAAGCGCTGTGCGAGAGTATCTGACTGGATGTGCGACGGAAGAGCAAGCGAACGAATCTGAGAGAGTAGTGCAGTGTGGGTCGGGAGGAACGACGGTGCATGTGCAGTGTACAGGGCAGATGCGGCTGGACCGTGTCCCATGAGCACGAGGTCGAGGTACGAATGGACGAAGAGCGGCAGAAGGATGGGAAGCAGCTCGGGCTGGTAGATGTCGAGACTTCCTTGGCACCAGGATTTGAGCATGGCAAATCCCCTGGCGCGGTCTGTTGGGTCGAGTAGAAGAGCTTGTGTCGCTGCAGCTGAGACATCGCCATCCTCTGCAAAGGTGAGGTCTGCGTCGGCGGCTGCATGCTTGTCTTTAGCTGCAGTATCGGCACCCTCCTTGTCCTTGTCACCGTCCTTGTCGACAAGCGTTCTCGGCGCATTCTTGGCTGCGAGATCCTCGAGGCCAACAGTGGGGGCCCGACCAAGCACATCGGCAGCTGCGGCTGCTTGCTCTGCGGTGGCACCAGAAGCCAATGCGTCGAGCTCAGCCTTGAATGCAGCTTCCACTCGATTGAACCCACGCTTTTGGAGGTATGCAAGCACGGCAGCTGTCATGTCGGGACTGCTGAACACGCTCCCAGCTAAAGCTTCGTTTGTGGTCACTGCTGAGCCGGATGCACTGGAAGCATTCGCCGCCGGAACTGAAGCATCCTTTTGTGTGTGTAGTGTCGAGTCAGAGGCTCTAGCTGCTCCTTGTATGTCCTGATCGTGGGCATTGGCCTTGTCATCGGCTGCCGCCGCCGTTGCTGTGGGTGCAGGCATCTTGTTGATAATGTCGTGACACGATGAGCCCCTTGCGGGTGTAACGCAGTGGTTTCTGGGCTAGTACGGTGTTGCCGGAAGTTGTCTATCGACTGAAGATGGTTGGACAATCCGATGGGTGACGACGCAGACAAGTGCGGATGGATGGTTGCGGTACGAATAAGGCCAAGGTCAAGGAGGGGAGAGAAGAACGTCCATGCGAACGCGATCCGCCATCGCGCGGAACTCGGGGACACCCTTTTCTGTGATCAAAATGTTATCTCACAAACCTAACATCTTTTCTCATCAAAATCCTTTCCACAAAGGCAAAGGCACCACACAGGCATCACACTCACACGGAACTTTGTGGTGGCAACTTTGGAAAAGGCGTTACTGTACGCCCATATTCCCCGCCAAAAGTGACATGGGCAATGACGTTTTTGACGCTTCAGCCTTCGACATTTATGGGAGCAAAGTTTCCCCTTTCTCTTCATCATCCTCAAGCTTGTACCAAATCTTGTCTTACATGCCTGTTCATTCTACACCTCCCCCTTCTCTCGCCGGTTATCCTCCGTTCTCCCGAAATCACTCTGCCAATGCTCTGACTGGGCTTGTGAAAAGGATCGACTGACCGAAAGTAGGACAACCTCTCTACGAGCCTCGTCGCTTCTTTCCTTCATCCTTCAACGTTCACAGATCGCCAAAATGTCGACTACAACAAGTCATATAGAAAATTCGTCTCCTGCCGCCAAGGTCAAGGGCTCTGGCGAGGCTGCCAACGCCGAGACCAGCAAGTCCGTAAAGCTCAACGGAGTGGGATCCAATAGTAGTCCCAGCCTTCAGTCTTCTTCTCGTTTCGCCCGCATGAACGGATTCAGCAGCACCAACAGCAACGGCACCGGTCATACCAGCCCTTCTATCGGAACCAAGACTTTCTTTCCGCTCTTTCCTGGAATCGCTTCCGCCCTCGACGAAAGTCCTTGGGCTTCGGGTTACAACACGCCAGCCCTCGGATCTGCCATCCACAACGTTGCAGAGCGGACCGAAGTTGCCCTGCAAAAGTTTGCAGAGCAGCGCAAGGGCGGTATTCTGGAACGTATGGCGCGCACCACCATCAGTGTCGCAGACCAGATCGAGCGTCTTTTGCAATGGGAGATCTTCAGTCGTGTTAACGCCATCGGTGGTGTTGACAACATGTGGCTCCTCCTTGACGGCATCGACGCCTTGAATCCCGTTTGCACCGCCACCTACACTTTCAAAGAGCCTGCAAAGCTGCAAGACATCAAGGACTCGATGCTTCGTCAGATTGGCCACTTCCCCAAATATACACAGAGACTCGCCGACGTTGGCCGCTTCTTCCACGGAGCTGTCTTTATCGACGATGAACATTTTGACATTGACCATCACATGCGTGCTCACACACTCCCTGGTAAAGCAGGCAAGCGCGAACTCGAAAGCTTCGCCTCTGACTTCATCGCTCAGAAATGGGACTACTCTCGCCCACTCTGGGAGGTCGCAGTGCTCGAAAACTTTGTCGATGAGCAGAGCGGTGCCAAGGGTGCTTGTGTCATCCGCGGACATCACACCCTGGCGGATGGCCAGGGCTTTATCATGAGCCAACTCTTTGTCACTTCGCTCGGACCCAAGCTTGAGAGCATGATGTCCGAGGGCGCCCAGTTGCTCAGCGACGCCAAGCAGGGCAAAGCGCTACCATCGCGCATGAACAAGAAACTCGCCAGCCTCGACCGATTTCACGGCACAATCGCACTCCAGCTCGTTATGATGGCGCTTTACTGG